TTTTTTTTTTTATCTCTTGATTAGGGTCGAAGGAAAGTGTTGTTGGGTTGATTTTCTACCTGCGTGTTCCCTCCCACCCACCCTTTGCATGCAATTTCAGGTTGGTACAGTGCCATGTCAGCTACAATGCCACATAAGCAGTGCCACGTCAGGAGTGCCACATCAGACACAGTGCCACGTAAGCAATGCCACGTCAGCAGTGCCAAGTCAGCAGTGCCACGTCAGTCACAATGCCACGTAAGCAGTGCCACGTCAGACACAGTGCCACGTCAGCAGTGCCATGTCAGACATAGTGCCACGTAAGCAGTACCACGTAAGCAGTGCCACGTCAGCAGTGCCACGTCAGTAACATGACGGGTTTGCCAGGCCAACTGCCCAACGAGTCCCTTGCAGCCTACAAGCAGCGTTTCCAGGCTCAGATCGAGGCTGAGAAACAACGCCAGCTGGCAGCCGAGGCTGCCCGCGTACAGGCTGAAGAGGCAGCAGCGGCAGAGCAACTGCGGCTATAGGCCGATGCAGACGCAAATGCCCAGGCTCGCCGCAAGGAAGCCCAGGATCTGTTGCAGCGGCATGAAGCCAGCAGCATCGACAGACTCAAGTTCTGGCACTTTGAACCGAACGGCGACGATCCAACACCGGAAAAGCAGCATAAGGAGTTTTTCTCCAAACTCGTGACACGGCTGTTGTACACTTGCAACTACCAACGGTTCGGGTTGGAGAAGGAGTACCAAGACCTGACGCAACAGCATCAGGCGTTGGCAAAGCTCCGCCGCATAGTGCAGAGCCACGAGGATGCAACTCGGGCACTCAATGCCCGAATGCTGGACCTGGAACAGGCTGTACCAGGACCAGTTGCTGGGGCTTCCAGCAGTGCACCCTCTAGCCGCCAACTGGAGGACCGCGTTGACCACGTAGTGGCAATGCTCAACGAGTCCCTTGCGGCCTACAAGCAGCGTTTCCAGGCTCAGATCGAGGCTGAGGAACAACGCCAGCTGGCAGCCGAGGCTGCCCGCGTACAGGCTGAAGAGGCAGCAGCGGCAGAGCAACTGCGGCTACAGGAACCTTCGCTGCGCCGACCACCACAATCAGCAGTCAGCTGCATACCTTGAAGACCGAGGTCCAGCAATTGCAGTCGACGAATGCGGATGACAATCCGAAGATGTACAAGATGCCAACTTTCCAACTGGAAAAGTTCGACAACTAAATGCTGCAGGATCCGGTCCTCTGGTGGGAAGCATTAACAACGCAACTCAGGATTCTGCCTGTCGCCAAGCATGCGTACATCGGCGCCCTGTTCCTGAACTCAAAGGGCGGATGCCGGACCTGGTTGAGCCACCTGGCAACCTCCCATGGCGTCGACGTACCGAACTTGAAGGACGAGATCACATGGGAGGAACTGACACGGTTGTGGAAGAAGCGGTTCATCGTCAACGACGCGCCGACACTCGCCATCAACCGTCTGTTCACCATGTCACAGGGCAACACTGCAACACGGGATTGGCTCACGGAGTGGCAGAAGATTGCGGCGGTGCCCAATCTGGAATTGGCATTCACGCATCTACGTCGTGAGTTCTACAACAGGTCTTGTGCGGCATTGAGCCAGGCTCTTGGTGATCGTGAGCAGTACTCAACCTTCGCTGAGATTATTGACAAGGCGAGAGAAATCATCAAGACCAACAGGTCGGCTGCGCTCAAGAGGTCCACGTGGCAGCCAACCTATGTGGAGAAGGTACGAACCGGTCCGCGATAGCAGCAGTTCGCTGCAGTCCAGTCGGACAGTGGAGATAACCCGGCAGCCACTCCTGCATTAAGTGACAGAGATCAGGTGGCTGCTGTCCATCCGCGAAGCAACAACAAGTCCCGCAACATTGGGAAGGCGAAATCCGCATCGCAGGCCGGAAATGGACAGCCGGTACAAGTTCCATGGGTCAAGTTCGGCTTGACCGAGGCGGAGTACAAGGTCCGTGGCCGCTACGGCAGCTGCTATTGGTGCAACAGCACCAAGCACAAGACCTCCCTGTGCCAAGATCAGGGCAAGGAGGATGTGCGACCCCGCCCCAACTCGGGAAACTGAGTTCCGCAGAAGGTGAGGCGACTCCACCTTCCACTCCGCCAGATTCGACCGCCTTGCTAGCGGCCTCCTGCACATCTGGGGAGAACTCGAATGTCGCAAGTTCTCGTTACACTTACGAGGACTATGCTGTCCACTTGGTTCCACCGCTGGACCAACCGCTCCACGTGCAACAGTCCACCGCATGCACGGTTTCATCACCATCGGCAACCGATTCGGCAGCTTCGCCGCAATTTATCACCAGGGACTCGACGTCATGGTCAAGACTTGAAGAGCTACATCCGTTGACGTTCACGGACTTCCAGTGGATGCCCGTTCCCTCGACCGGACGATTGCCGAAACCGCATTGCAACGTGCTTATGGCACAATTACGGGATTACTTGCACACTGCAATACCCACTCCATTGATGGATGTCGGAGTAGAGGTTGTCGACCTTCACACCTACATTGCGAAGATCGACCGCGAGTTCAAGACGCAACGATACGACGACATCGACGCACCAATGCTATACGTACGCATTCAGATCGGAGAGGCGACCTGCAGTGCTTTGATCGATTGCGGAGCATCTCGCAACTACATCAGCCAGGACTTCATGGTGCGCGCCGGCCTTGGCCCACATGTCCGGAGGAAGTCCCAGCCTACGCAAGTCACGTTGGCGGACATTCGCACGCACAAGTCTATCGATCGGTGCATCGACGACGTCCCAGTGTACTTTGCCCCTCACGCAAGTGAGGCGGTGTCCTTTGATATTCTGGACACCAAATTCGACATGATCTTGGGCACGTCATGGCTGCGAAGCGAGGATCACCCGGTGAACTTCTTCCACCGCACCGTTCACATTCGTGATCGGAACGGAGTATTAGTTCCATGCACGGTACCTCTTCCTCATCCTTCGATCAACTGCCACGTGGTATCCGCCGCAAGCATGCGAGCATCCATCATCAAAGACGACATCGAGGAGATGGGGGTATGTTTTCTCCACGCCCTCCCGCCCATGACGCTTCATCGACGGACTCATCTTCGAATCCACACATCACCAAGCTTCTCGATGCCTACAGCGACATGTTCGAAGGCCCGCACGGAGTAGTACTCATCTTCGAATTCACACCCTCCTGCCCCATGACGCTTCATCGACGGACTCATCTTCGAATCCACACCCTCCTGCCCCATGACGCTTCATCGACGGACTCATCTTCGGATCCACGCATCACCGAGCTTCTCGACGCCTACAGCGACGTGTTCGAAGGCCCGCACGGAGTAGTACTGGATCGACCCATCCGCCACGAGATTATCCTCGAGGACGGGGCCGTACCTCCGCGTGGTTGCATCTACCGAATGAGCGAGGAAGAGTTAAGTGTGCTCCGTGCACAACTCGACGACCTTCTAGAGAAAGGCTGGATTCGGCCTAGCTCATCGCCATACGGTGCTCCTGTTCTCTTCGTCCGGAAGAAGAACAAGGACCTGCGGTTGTGCATCGATTATTGCAAGCTGAACGCGCAGACGATCAGGAACGCCGGCCCTCTCCCACGCATCGACGATCTTCTCGAGCGACTGGGCGGCGCCAAGTTTTTCTCCAAGCTGGACCTCAAGTCAAGATATCACCAACTCGAGATTCACAAGGAGGACCGTTACAAAATCGCGTTTAAGTCGCGATATGGGCATTTCGAATAGCTGGTCATGCCATTTGGCCTTACGAATGCCCCAACCACTTTCCAAGCGGCCATGACAACGGAGTTCCGACACATGCTGGATCGTTTTGTACTCATCTACCTCGACGACATCTTGGTGTACAGTCGGAGTTTGGAAGAGCATGTGGAACACTTGCGCACCGTTTTGGAGCGGCTACAACAGGCCAAGTACAAAGCAAACCGCGACAAGTCCGGGTTCGCACAGCGGGAGCTGGCGTACTTGGGACACTATGTGACGCCGCAAGGCATCCGTCCGCTCGTGGACAAGATCGAGGCCCTACGAGTATGGCCCGAGCCCACCAACACCACGGCCGTTCGTTCATTCATGGGATTGGCGGGCTACTATCAGCGATTCATCACCGAATACTCAAGGATTGTTGCACCTATGACGAGGTTACAGTCGCCAAAGGTGCCATTCGTGTTCGACGACGACGGACGCCGGTCATTCCAAGCACTTAAGACGGCTATGCTAATGACACCCGTCCTTAGCATCTATGACCCCACCCTGTCGACTAGAGTGACTACGGACGCTTCCGGCTATGACATTGGGGCAGTCTTGGAACAGCACGATGGCGACGACTGGCACCCCGTGGAGTATTTCAGCCACAAAGTGTCTCCCATCAACTCGCTTGATCATGCAAGGAAGAACGAGCTACTCGCGTTCGTCATGGCTCTCAAGCGATGGTGGCACTTCCTCCTTGGGCGTCGTAGGTTCGCATGGGTTACAGACAACAATCCATTGACCTACTACAAGACGCAGGATAAGGTGAGCAGCACGATCGGACGATGGATGTACTTCATCGACCACTTTGACTTCACACCAAAACATCTTCCCGGCCTCTCAAATCGCGCAGCAGATGCACTCTCACGAAGACCTGATCTTTGCGGTATGATACATCATGCCTTCGCATTCGACGAGGATCTTCAGCGACACTTCATCCGGGCATATGAGGCTGATCCGGACTTCGCCACGCTGTACTCATAGCTATCTTCAGATCACCCGCCGGCCAGCCACTATCGCATCGTCGACAGATACTTGCTCCTCCACTCGAGAGGCAAGGAATTACTGTGTGTTCCACGCGACCGTCGTCTTCGGACTCGCCTCCTCGGCGAGTATCATGATTCACGACTCGCCGGCCATTTCGGAGTGAACCGCACTATGGCACGACTTCGACAGCGATTCCCATGACCCGACCTCATTACCGATGTCACTCGGTATTGCGACTCTTGCGAAGTTTGCCGACGCAGCAAGCCCCGCAACCGCAATCCCTACGGCGAGTTACACCCGATGCCTATCCCACGGGAACGTGGTCTCTCCATTGCCATGGACGTCACCGGTTCATTTCCTCGCAACCGGCCCGGGCACGACGGCATCCTCACGGTTGTGGACCGATTGAGTAAGTACGCGTGTTTTCTCCCTTGCAAGTACTACTCCACGGCTCCAGAACTGGCACGCCTCCTGCACACTGGTTGGATTTGTGGCCACGGTGTACCAGAAGACATTGTCAGCGACCGCGACACTCGTTTCATGTGGGCGTTTTGGACTGCTCTCATGTAGGAGTCCGGCACAACAATGAAACCAAGTTCGGCTCGGCATCCTCTAACAGACGGGCAGACGGAGCGGGCACATCAAACTGCTCAAATGATGCTTCATACGCTCATCCGTCCGGACCAGAAAGATTGGGTTGACCGCCTCCCCGACATCGAGTTCRCCTACAACACTTCGGTGCATCCGGCGATCGGCGCGACTCCATTCGAGTTGCACCACGGTGGACGGAAAGGCCGGATCTTCGCCGACCTTCTCCTCCCTCGACCAGCCGACATTGACGCTACCTGCTCTCCCGCTTCCATCGGAAAGTAGAGGGAATTGCCGACTCAAGCCCACGCAAATATGCAAAAGGCTCAAGTCCCCATGCAGCAGCAAGCCAACAGGCATCGCGTACCATGTCCCATCCGCGCCGGTGATCTGGTTTGGGTCTCCGCGGAAGAGTTTGCACTGGAACAGGATGTTTCACGCAAACTGTTTCCCAAGTGGTTTGGACCTTGGTCTGTGACAGCAGCCGTGGGCAATGAGCCCGATGGCCCTTCATTTGTGATCAACATTCCWGAGCATCTSACGGTCCATCCGGTCTTCCACGCCTCGAAGCTGGCAACTTACACGCCAGCCAAGAGCGACGACTTTCCGGGCCGACGATCGCAGGACCCTCCTTCYATGGATGGYCATSAGGAAGTTSACCGCGTCATCTCCGATCGCAAGTACGGCAGCAAGCCGCTGTAGTACAAAGTCACATTCAAAGCATGCGATCGCGACGACACTCGGTGGATTTCAGTCGCAGATTTGAAAGCATCCGCACTGCTGATCTACGCACATTATGAAAAGTTGAGGTTAGCTCAGGAAGCTTCACGACCAGCCCCTCCCACCCGGACTGTGGTCCCTCCCTCAGACAGACAGCTTCGCCCTCGCAGGTAAGCTCGGTTCTTCAAGGAAGGGGGGACGTGGCATACTGCGTAGCCACACAGGCCCTGCAGGGCCCGTCCCGCATTCTCAGCCTAAAAGCCTAAAACTTAGGGCTTACAGGCCCCGGTCGTTTCAGCTTGAAAGCTGAGAAACGAGGGTCTGCAGGCCCTACTCTGTTTCAGCCTATTTCTGGGTCTTTCAGACCTAGAGTTTTTCCAGCCTGAAACGGAGGGCCATTTTCAAGCCCTCATTTGTTTCGACCTGCCCTAAGACTCAGGCACGAAAACTGGGTTTCGGAACAGGCTATTTCCGGCCTGTTCCCACGCCAGCTCGAGCAGGAGCTGCAGCTGCAGCCCCTGCCTCCTTTCGGCATTGGCAAGAGCAGCCTCCTGAACTGCTCGCACGGCTCAGGAGGCACACCCGTGGTAGTACATAGGACTTCCCAGGCACTTCACGAGGTAGTCTTCAGGATTTCGGCCGCAGCACTCAGGAGGAGCGTTGCAGTAGTCTTCAGCGCTAGTAGTATGAGCGCTAGCTGTAGTCTTCGGCGCTGGGCGCCATAGCTGTAGTTGTAGTCTTCAGCGCTGGGCGCTGGTAGGTGGTAGATCGTAGAGTGGGAGAGAGACTGGCGGAGGTCAGTGATACTTACCTGTGGCGCCATCGCTCYAGCTCCATCTTCGTGGTACCTTTATCAAGGCGCCAACTTCACAGGTTAGTACTGGACACAGAGAGAGAGAGTTCTTCTTCTTCCTCTTCTACGTCCAACATCTCTTCTCACCCTCTTGCCACCTGACTTCTCAGACTACGACAGAGAGATAGAGTTGTGACTTGACACTTGACGACATTGGATCCAGACTTGACATTTGGGATTCAGACATTTCGACGAGGGACTATTTGGGCTTGTGCCGAAGACTTGGTGTTGACGACATTCCCATCTTCCCCCTCCTCTTCGTCTATCCCCTTCCTCTTCGTCTGTGTATGGTATGGACTGGCGCAGTCTTCTTGTGTGAAGCGCCAGACCCCATTCACACCATGTGACGATGATGATGATGTATGTTCAGGGCTGCATTGCAATATTGATTGTTCGGATCACTAGTATCTAAGTCTTCTGCTGTGCTATCTTGTACTTTGTATTGAAAGGTCGGATCTTGTTCTGGTCTGCACGTTACAATATGCAACACATAACAGACGAAGAGGAAGGGATCAGACGAAAGGAGGGAGAGAGATGGGAATGTCGTCAACACCAAGCCTTTGTCACCAATCCCAAATAATCCCTCGTTGCCATGTCTGAAGTCCCAAAGTTGAGTCTGGATCTGAATGTCACCGAGCTCTGTCTCTCTTCTCTCGTAGTCTGCAGATGCAGGGAAGTCAAAAGTTGAGAGGGAGAGAAGAAGATGGTGGACTGAGAAGAGGAAGAAGAAGAAGAACTCTCTCTCTCTCACTGTTATGAACCAGATACTAACCTGTTTGGCGCTGTGCTGCAGGTACCTCGAAGACGAAGCTGGAGCAACGGCGCTGCAGGTAGGTACCTCTGGTCTCCGCCCAAGCTCTCTCTCTCTCCCTAGTACTACCTAGCTATGGCGCCCAGCGCTGGAGGCTACAGCTACCTACTGCGCCTAGCGCTGAAGACTACAAGCTAACGCTACTACTACTACACTGCAGCGCTCTCCCCAGAGTGCTGCTCCCGAATCCTGAAGACTACAACTGCCGACTGCCCACCTCGGAAGTGCCTGGCAAGTCCTGTGTACTACCTCGGCCTGCCTCCTGACTACTGGAGGGCGAGTCAGGCCGAGGAGGCAGCTCTTGCCAATGCCGAAGTGTGCCAGGGGCTGGCGTGCAGAAGCCTGCTGAGGCTGGCGTGGGAAACAGACTAATAATAGTCTGTTCCCGAAACCCTGGTTTGGTGCCTGAGTTTCAGGGCCGGTCGTACTGATGAACGACCGAAAATGGCCCTTCGTTTCAGGCTAAAAAGGCTGTTGCCATTTTTAGTCTGAAACGACACAGGGATAGGCCCTGGAATTCAGKCTTTCGGGCTGAACCGACATGGGGCCTGTAAGCCCTGGATTTCAGGCTTTCGGCCTGAAATTCAGGCTTTCGGCCTGAAGTTCAGGATTTTGGCCTGAAGGACGCAGGCCTGCAAAATGGCCTGCGTGTGCACGCGCAGCATGTAACAACTAATCATAGCAGACACTCTCCAGTCCTGCAGCCTGAAATGCAATATCCTTACTACACTGGAAAACGCCAGCGTGTCTCTACGATCAAAACACTATTGGCGAAGAGCAACCAACTACGCTCCGCAGATCTCGAAAATGCCCATGGCAAAACACGAAAATTATACCATGTAACCCTAAAATTATTCCCATCAGCAAACTAAATTCCCAGATACAATTCCATTCTAAATTTCAAACCAAGTGCTTACTAGATTTTACACTAAACATACTAATGACTACACTCGACTAACGCTCCCACCACTAACGATGGCAGTCACACTGCCCCCGTAGTGCCGCTTTCGATAAACGAATAGACGAATAAGCTGTAGGGTTACCCTCTCATCCACACTATCCCCAACACTGTAAAGAGCCTGTGTTGCCAAGACGGGTTTCCCACCACACACCCAATGGATACAACTCTAGTTTGCTCTTCACCGGGTCTCTCATTTCATCCAACCATTGGTGCTCGTACTGCTCCCTTGTACTAATTACTCTTATAATGACTACACTCGACTAACGCTCCCACCACTGCCGAAGGCACTCACACTGCCCCCGTAGTACCGCGTTTCAATTTCCACACCACGTTTCAATTTCCAGAGGCCGGAGACCAGACAGAGGAGGCTTGGTGAAACGATTTTACAGAGGCCTGGAAACAGGTCTGGGTGAACTGGTGGTTTAAGCCATTCGAACCTGGGTCTGTATTTCAACAGTGCAGGGATGGAGGCCAAAGAAGAAAAAGGAAAGAAAAAGAGAAAAAAAAAAGAAAAGAAACGAGGAACTATGAATCCACCGACGTGGGGAAGACCCTAACGTAGGTGGAAGTTACACCAGTGCTTTGAGGAATGTATATGGCCAGTATGTGAGGACCATGTCGTTTTCTTTGCTTGCTTTTTGTTGTGAGGTCCTGACTGAACTGCTACCGAAAGGCAGCCCCAGTTTGAACTGCATTTCAAACTCGGGACCTGACTAAACTGCTAAAACGCAGTTTGAAGTGCATTTACAAACTATGTTCGTGACTGCGCGGTAGTTACCCCTTTTTTTTTTCGTTTCTTTTACCATGCGGCCAGGCCCTGAGTCATCTGCTCAAACATGGCAATA